GATATTATCGTATAACTTGCATCATAACCAACAGGACAGAGTCGTTTCTGTCGATCTCAGTTCCACAAGTATATTCTAGAATTTAAACTACCTGAAATATTATCGCCCTGATCTGAAATACTTCATCACTATTAACGACTTTACGTGGAATGTCTGTAATCCGTAAAATAATCTATGGGAATATGGCAAGGTCTCATCAGTTTTTCTAGGGTTAAAAACAAGGGACCATTGGTCTTGGTCTTCACTACTAACACTAATCCCTTGGACAGCAGCAAAGGTGTTCGCCTATCTTTCCCTTAAGAAAGTGATACTCAATATACCTGCTCTTAACAGGTTCTACTACGACACTATTCGAGACAAGAAACTGGCCATGTTTCGCCATCCAGACGCCTTTTTGCAGTTGAGTTCTGGTTTATAGCCCATGCACGCGCTTATAATTGTGTTTTGTGTTGAATACTGAATAGGTTTACTGTACTTCATAAGGCCTCGTGGACACCCACTCGGTAAGAGCGAACTGGCTACCCTCCAGACGACTACTGAAAGCTAGTTTCGTGCCACAGGGACGAGATGTTCTGTTTATTCCAGCTACAGTCAGGTTCTTAAATGGACTATCAGTATCACCCCGCCTACTTCTGGGGAGGGCGGGGGTGGACGCATGACATGTGTTCACTGTATTGTGAAGTCTGTGGCCAACGCGCGCAATGTTCTTTGCACATCATTGACCTTAGACTACGCCCTCCTACCTTCTAGGACGGTGTTACAACGGGCGCGGATGACCGTCTTCTTTTGGTTGGCGCAACAAACCGGTGAGCCCATTGTTATTTGTGAACTTTGCATGCTATGCGCTACTTTGCCCTTTTCCATTACCAAAACGTGCATATTATTGAAATCTAACCGGTATCCCCCATTCGCCTTTAACGTTTCTCCCATGAATATCGGTTGATCCGTTTCGCTCCTTATATACGGTTTCTGACGCCCACTTTTTATTCGAACTACAATACCCAGGTCATCAACACATAGCGCTAACACTGTTTTCAAGGAAGTCGCAAAAGAGGGTTGGGACTCATTTTCAAACGACCGTTAATTATGTTACCAGCTGCCCATCATGCGTCTTCTGTGATCTTCCGGTGTTATGTGGTCTGTGTACCTTAACTCAGCCACTGCGAACGGAGGACTGTTTTTTTCTTAACATTTTGCATTGGTACTTTTAAAATAAAACCTCTCTCGCTCGCTGGGCGGCAGCAAAGCAAGCATGGTACCCTTGCTGTCCACTCAATGTTGGCTGTTATCCCAGCATAATCCGTCGAATTTTTTAGCAAAAAAAAATCATTACACCAACTATGCTCAGGAACTCTATTTTGACTGCACTATTATTCAAAACCTCAAAACAACGACATGCCTTGTTTCGCAGCATTCGGAGCTCTGCGAGACCATTAATAGATACAGAGGGTTTGGTATTCGCAAATTAGTAGTGTACTCCCCTCCTTCACTGTGATCGCTGTGCCGACCGATGGCCATCTATGTAACCCGCCAATTTAAGAATACCTACTACATCTCTCAGGTCGAACTGCCTTATTTTGACTTTTAAGAGTGTCATAGCACAAGATAACGTTAGGCCACTTAACAGCTTTTCATCCGAGCCCCACATGTGGCAACTCCAGTTTATCCATCCAGT